TCTCGCCAGATATTGCAAACGATGAGATTAATCTAAATATCGCACCGGTGTACGGAAGATGAAAATAATAAAATAGAACCTTCCTTCAGGCTCCAAGACGCACTCGAAATCGACGTACAAAGCACGGAAGGAAGAGGTTCTCGCCGGATCTCTCTTCATCGGCGGAAAATCGTCGAGATCCGCGTAAACGCGACGTAGAACGGTACGAGGCGGATGGTTGACAGATTGGAAACGGCAGATAAATTCCGTATTTCCAGCGATTCGTGAGAGAGATGCAATCTGCCGTGGCATCCACCTTGACACAGAACGCGACATACCAGTCGGGTAATCGGTCACGTACGATCTCGCGCTGCGATCTGCTCTTCATCCACGCTGCCCCTCCTCGCTGCATAATTTCGAATTATAAACCGGAAATGTTGCACGCGCCCTGGAGAACGTGGCCGATTGCCATCGGGGCGACGCGTGTCCGTGAAAATGCAGGCTAATTGCACGTATTCCGGTTCCATCCGCGCCGCCATTGCGCCGTAGATAGGCAACTGGACGCGCACGATCGCGGCTCTCGCGTTTGGAACTCGCCGGACCTTTCCATCTTCGCATAAATTTCGCAGAGAATTCGACGAAGGAATGGAATCGGCGATCAATCGACGGGATAAAACACGTCAACGTTGATAATAGGTTTATCAGACACGACGGGATAAACGGGATGGAGATTGATAATTAAGAGAGACGGACGAAATAAAGTAGCTGAATTTCGATGAATTTATCGCGATACGCGATTTTACGGCCTCCTGTAAATTTATACAAGTGTCCTGTGAATTTATCGCGACGTATAATAAGCGCGATAATTCTTCATTAAGAATAAAAAGCAGTCGTTACGCTAGGCGTCGAAATCGCCACAAGCAAGTTGCATCTCGCGGCTAAAGGCATAGTTCTCGACGAGATCGAAACCTACGAGAAATGACCAGCAGGACCTGGGATTTTCTGAATAAATTGCTTCTTTCTCGGGTAATTAAGACTCGAATAAATTTCGCTAATTGTCGCCAATCGTATCGTTCGAATTGTGTTTATTTATTTGAACGAAATGAGCACTCTTTAGTACTGAAGCCGTAGATGACGAGGATGTGTACCGAAAAATGAGGGAAAATATAAAATAGAATGGAGAAATTGAAAGTGAACGAACGACTAAATGACTATCGAGTGAAACGAGCGGATAAAATGATCGGGAAACACTTATACGAATGTCAGCGTGCCTTCGGAACAATTTATTTTTATCTGCCGTTGCTTTTTACACGATGTACCAATATTACCTCAATTTGCAGTACACAGCGTAGCAAAGTGTTCCGGCAATTCGCGTTAACGACATTCTCGTTCGGACCGTTCGTAATTAAGTGCATGCAAATGACGTACGTTCAGCGAAACGCGGCTGAAATTGCATTCATCATGCGATGCATTCATCAAACAGCGTATTTGCCGCGTATTATGCAAAACGTCGACGGGCCCGGTAAAACGATACGAAACTGGGAATAACGAGAGATCGGGCTACGAGCGAATCGCGATAAGCATTCGGGATCTTCGGGATTTCCCTCGAGGAATTCGATGGCGATTCATAGGACTCGGATCAGTTCGAAACGGTGGGAAATTTCTTGCTTCGCGAAATTAATTTCGAGACACGAAAATAATCGTTTCATCGGAAATCTTGAAAAGTTATAATTTGTCAGTCGGGACTAATTATATGGAGCCCTTAGCTGGACGGCCATTAAATCCAACACCCTCAATTTACTTTTCGCCGATCAACGTTACCAGCTGTGTTTATACAAAAAGAGTATCCGCTTTTTCGTGCTGAAAAAGCCACCAATGCGAGAGGAATAATTATTTTCGAGTAACTGTCATGACAGCGTATTGACTAGGAATTACTCCAAATACCTCGTACCGAGTATATCTTTGATATATCGTATCATGTTTTTAATTTCTAATTTTTCAAGTTTTCATTAAACGTGAAACAGCAAATGTTTGCGCGATATATAAATCCTGCACTCGAAGTAAAATAATTTCTTCGATTTCTGTCACGGAATGAATAATTTCTGACTAATTTCTGTCATTGCAGCTGGGCATTATTTATAACGTGCAATCTGTTATTCTCGCAATAAAAGGGGAATTAAATCAATTCGTAGATTAATCCGTGAATTAACTCGTAAAGGGCTCCTTGCTCCCAGGGGATCAAAGATATCTCCCTCGTTAAATTGATTAATCGAGTCGTTAAACGTCGAGCCTATTAAAGGCGTGTTCCTCTTTGCCTCGATGGTACAGGAGTTCAGCGACGAATTAAGTCGGACGACGAATTAAAATTCGATATATTTCTTTTTTATCGGGATATGCTAATTCCGCCGACTTCTTTTCGGTGGTCGGCAGTTGCCCGGGTGCTATGAAACTTTAACAAGCGTCAGCGAGGATTTGTCCGGCGGCGATAAAAATATTATGCTAACTACCTCTCGATACGCAAAACGCGATCTGTCGGCCGTAAATTCTGCCGCTGCATAAAATAATGCCCCCTGACCCAGGGGCCATCTGCGTAACTGCGGCTCAGGCCGAAACGTATTTCACGGTAATGGTCCTCCCGTTGGCAATTCATATTTTCCGGGATCGAAAACATTGTGCGCGTAAAGTAGAAGTATCCTCTCCCTTCGCGATAAAATTTTAAGACCGCGACGACGTGGCTACTCGACTTGCGAGGGTTCCCTGGCACGTCTTTATAACCGACTCTTCCGACCCGAAATTCCAGGCCTCGCCGTCAGCTATCGGTCCCTAAATCACCTTTCGTGAGGCCGATGCAAGGTGCGTCGTGGGTTGTACCGTGCATTGTACACGGATCCAAACGTCCAACCGGCTTCGAATAGATCGATACCCCTGCAAGACGATTACTCTACCCCGATACACGACGGTACCCTGTCCCTTCATTTTCCTCCCGACTCTATCCGAACGTGACAACTCGCGGGGACTCGGTCCAGCTATCTGGGAAATCGATAGAATCGTAAAGACGTCGCGTCGTAAATTTTCAGCTGCAACTTCGAGAAGACACCGAAGAGTGTCCCTAACTAACCGGTATCGTGGACTTCGCGAGAGCAGCTATTCGTTCCGAGGGCAATTAAAAAGGGGAGAGAGCAATTAATCGGTAGACGGAATGCGCGCGTTTCTTCAAACGATCATCGAGCATGCGGTCAAGTTCCTTTTTCCTCCGTCTCGCCGACGACTATTCAGATCCGACCGCGACGGGCATCAGCGTCCCCCGAAAAGGCACTTTGACATGCGACGCGGGCCCATAAAGGGCGCGCTCGGTCCCCACGGACGCGGCCGTACGCGTGCCTTCGTCGGCCACCTGGAATTCCGCCCAGTACCCCCTGTTTTTCCCTTTCGCCGTGTAATCGTACCTTTTAATCCCCCTGTAATTTGCCGACCCGCGTTAAACGGCGGACAACGATATTACACGCGGTTCCGACAGGCAGGAAGCACTGTTCCGTTTTTACGGAAACCCGACGGCGAGGATCGTAAGTACGGTAGTACGCGAGAAGTACAGGGTGCCTCGAAGCGACGGGTCAATTAAGCTCGAGAAGAACGAGCAAAAATGAAAGCGATATTTTTTATATGACACGGTATGTATTCTGTACGAGAGGAGCAAAGTTTGGTCGCCGGGGAACGAAGCGTAACGCGGTAGCAAAAATGGCGAGAGCGTTTCGGTGAACAGCGGTAGCAAGGAATTCCCGTCGCTTCTTATGCCTTTATCGTCATCTCCGCGTATCTCACGCGTGCCATCGGCTCGATTGTGCATAACGTGGACACACGTTGCACCGATGCGCGGCTCGCGACATGCATCGAACGTGAAATTTATGCCCGCTCCGTGCGCCCGTAGTTTACCGTAGCCCACCGTCGTTTACCGTAAACGCGCACGTCGGGATACGATTCCAGCTTGTAGGAAGATTCTTCCTGCGCTTTTTTCCACCGCGGAAGCAACCTGCCTCGCTGGACACGCTGCCGCAGCCAGCAATTTCGCGTTCGAGAGGCTCGTCATACGGGAAGTTCCATTCGTGAACGGATTTCGTAATGAATTTGTAATGAAAGACGCCGATGCGTCATCCGGCAAAGATGGCAAAGAGTTGCCCACGAAGAACGGTGAAACGAGCATTTAATGAATCCCTTACACGGCTCTTACGTCTTCTGACATAATTTTCTATATTTAATCGCGAGTTACAGTGGTCCCTTTGTGGACCGACTTCCGTTCCGCAGCGAGCCAAAAATGTCCGCCGCAAGATGCTGCCAAATCGGTCACGGGTGACAACGGGCGGCTTTCGTCGGGACAAAAGCCACTGACAGCGGATGATTTAACGATTCGGGGAGTGTTCCAAAGGGGTCTCTTTATCGGACAGATTTATTTCGAAACAGTCGAGCAGAACTAAGTATCGCGAAAGTGACGAACCTGAGGAGCGCTGGGATTTCGCGTGACAGGCCCGCAGGCTGTCATGGCTCGATCGCGGTAAAACTTGTAATACTGATTAATCGCTGTTATTAATTTTAGTCGACAGAGGCGGTCCCGTGTCTATTCGATCCTTATAATTACTTCAATTCCACGGCTCCGCCCCCGAATCGGTGTAATCTCCGATAAATCACGGAATTATCCCATAATTAATAACTTGACCATACTGGATGGCACAGGTGTTTGGAAACCAGCGACTTTTATCCACCTATTCGTTACTTCTCGATCGAATGCGTCGTATCCTTCTGAATTATTAAGACGTATCGTCGAACTATCGCGACGATGACAGCACGTTGTAAATAATCGCGTCGCGTGTGCGAAAAATGGCGAATCCGCGAAAGTCTGGCCGAAAGAGTAGGTACAGAGGAAGCGGATGATTTATTCGCCACCGAAGGCAAACAGGCTCCTACGCCATCCTTCCTGGAGGACATTCAACGTGAACAAGGCTACAGTAATTCGCTCCACTTTGTTCCAGCATGCAGTGGGGAAGATGCGTCTTCTAGTTCTCGTCCTCGCGGGCTGCTTCAACGTTCTCGAGATTGTTCGCTGTCAAGAGCTTTCGGTCATCAGACACTCCGATGGAGACATTTTCACGTTGGAAGGTAAGCCTTGTATTAAGCGCAATTACAAATCTCCTCCTTCGCCTCGTCCTTCGTCCTCGGGCCGACCACTCGACGGAAGTAGACAGAGATTGAAATGCCTCGAGACGTTTCGAACGCAGCCGCGAATCCTTTCGCGGAAGGACGGAACCGTAAGTCGCGGACCGTGATTTGCAACGTCTGGAGAAATCGTACGGGATTTGATATTAAAAACAACGGAAAAGAGGAACGGCGCGCACGCGTGCGCGAGGCTGTCAAGCACAAAGGCCGCGCGGGAAAAAAGCTCGTGAAAGATTAGCCGTGAAATTACGATGTAACGATTTGACAGCTGTACTTCGCATCGCCAGATTATATGTCGCGCTCAGGTACGTATGAATTTCTTCCCCTTGCAAATTTATCTCCGAACGTGTCTCGAGCAATAGCCCGCACGTGTACAGTTACTCGCGCTTTCTTCCAGGATCGCCATTTTAGAACAGGCTTTCCAGATTTTTCGGGAACATCGGTATAGATCGAAATTGAAACCGCCATCTTGCACTGGAGAAATATTTTCGTATTTTTATTTGGCAACTTCGTCACTTCGTTTCCTTTATACCTTTTTATGCTTGAAATCGGTCAAATCAAAAATACGCAAGAGTGCCAACTTTCGAAACAGTAATTCGAGATATTTAACGGGAAATAAAGCGCAGGAACCTCGATGGACGCCGCGCGACGTTAATTTGAAACGTGTACCGCGGATATGGAATATCACTTACGGAGTATGACTTAAATTCGAGGTTTCTTAAGATGTCAGAAATATTAAAAGGAATTTACCGGTGATAAATTGGCAGTAAGCGGTGGTTAACGAACTATGTTGAAATTCGAAGTTAATCAACGATTTCTTCCCGTTTTACCGCTCGACGCCGATGTCCTGCGGCCGCAAACTGCATCCGGCGCGGAGCGTCGACGACTAGAACGGTGTCGTTTCGTTGCTTAATACGATAATTTACGGGCCTGGTACGAATCAGGCACAACTCGGTCTCGTCGTGCTCGCTGACTCGCGAGGCTCGGCGAATAAGTTTCTCTCCTTCCCTTCCGCTTTCTTCCGATTTTCCCTCCCGCGCAATTAGAGACCATAAAGCTGTAAGAGGGGAAAGTTACGAATGCGATTACTCAGGTTCCTGCACGGAGGCTTGCACGGTGCTCAGCAGCGGAACAGCCAGCCCTTACACTCGTAGTCCTTCGACCGCGGGACTCGTTGCTCCTAACAACACCTGCACCTGCCAGTGCAACCACGGTCTGCCCACCTTCCGGGAGGATCTCCGCATCTGCGTGAATGATATTCACGGTAAGCCGCTTTAATCCCCGTGCCGTATGGTCGTTTTCTAATGGAGGTAATCAACCCGATACACGTCGAAGATCCTCCTCCGTATCGCGGTTACCAGATAGCCTGCGTAATGAGAATAATCCGGTCGAACGTGTCGTAATATTTTTCCCCATTCGTTACGTGGAGCTACACGTAGACGGAACATTGTCCATTTCCCTACCACGATTACACGTAAGAATCGAGTGCACGCAACGGTACTACACACGTGTACTTCTCGCAATGGTCCCACCGCGATCACGCGAATCGCGTCCTCCTCCGAAAGGTCCTCCGATGTTCGATCGGTATGACGAGTCCTGCGATACTTACCTCGACCACGAAGCCCGCCTGGTACCTCTTTGCAGTTCCGAGAAAACGATCCTGAAAGCACCGTTTCAAAGTGGACATTCGGGACCATCGCCACGTATAAATTAACATACGTATTAAATCGTCGAGCGGAATCTCGCCACGAAATCCCGGCCACTCCGTTTCGAATTTTGGCTTAAAAGCTTGTAACCCCTTTTATTATAATTAAGCACCGCCGTCGGGTGGTAACCGGCTGTAAATACCACTCGCGTAAAACAGATAGTCTGTCTGACTGTTTAATGACCTTACACCGGACAAACAAGCAGAACGGGCTGAACTGCAATTTAGCCAAGTCGAGGATTTTTTCCCTAGTGCACTGTGCTATTGCAAGTATATCATTAGCTTAACCTTTCAACCCGCGGGCAGCCGGATCTTGGATCACGTGGATGCAAGCCGTAAGAAGCTTCATGACGGATAGTCCGCAGGGGAAGTTACGTAAACGGTGAATAGATGGGAATATGGACATTCGAATTTCCTCCACGGGGGTGCATAGTGTCGTCGAAATTATGATTCGACATTTCGAAAATCGAGAACGTTTGTGATAAAATGGCCCTTGAGTCAAAATGGAGAGTCGATTAAAACCTGTTAAAAATTTTAGTTCTAATGGAGACCAAGGGCTCTCCGTCTATTTTCATTGGCAGAATATTCGATGAAATTTTGGGAGAATATTTTTGTACGTGGCAATTCGTTAGAAACGTTTTCTCAGAAAATGGCCCTTGTGCCAAAATAGGGAGTCGAGAAAATCGCGTTAAAAATTTCTGTTCGAATGGAGACTAGAGGTATCCTAGTAAGTAGACAAAAGGCCCTCCACCTATTTTAATTCTCGGAATATTCGATTAAATTTTAGAATATTTGTAGACCGAAAGTCGACTGAAAAAATGGCCCCTGCACCTTTTTTAAAAACGTCCCCGATTATTTGCTTCGTCAAAAGCCCGTTCCCCTGTTTGCAATTCTTCCCTTCGTACCTATATTCAGCTATGCCTTCCTGCGTTCCATGATCGACCAGTTATATGCACGTACCGTTTTCAATCGAACCGTGTCATCAGAAATGATTGCTCTAGCTGTTCATGCAAATCGTCCTCGTGCTACGTACTGACGATGACTTGGCTACGGCCAAGGATTGCACGTGCGCAATTTCAGTGTTATACGTCGTACAGCGAAACAAGGAAAACGAAATTAATATATCGGAAAGAAAACAGCGAGTTTTTTGTAGCAAGATAATAATCGAGGGGTAAGTGACAGGTAGCTTTAAGCATTCCGAAGCGTGCAATTAAATTAACATGATCAAAGGGTGCAGTCCACCTGACCAATTGGATCAATTTGCAATTTAAAATGCTTTACCGGACCTGTAGTTCAACGAAAGATTTGGATACAAGATCTCCTTAGCGGTTCACCGAAAATTTTGCGTATATTTCTTACTTCGACATGTTCCATTGTCGAATGTAATAATAAAAGGATCTTAAATACGAAGACGTACACGATCATGGATAACTGAGATACATTTCAGCACGAACGTTAAAACGATAGAAAGACAGCGATAAAGAAAGGTTGCGAGGTGATATAGCGATAAACCAAAGTAGACGAGAAATTTATTCCGGTCTACCGATTAAAAATGAAGAAATTTAAAACAAGTTACCCAAATGTCTCAAAAAGCCAACAAAGTACCGGAATGCGATAAAGCTAAACTGCCGATTGCGTAAATCTCATCAAGATTTGCATTTCTCGGTATTAAGCAACTGGAGAAAGGGAAGATGGCGCGTGAAATATGTTTACGCTATCGTCAAATTAAATCTCTACGGTATTTTATGTCCCACAGCAATGCTCTTCGTCTAGAATTCCTAAACTTCCCGGAATCGCTACATTAACAGCGCGAAATCGCTGTGTCGAGGAGCAAACGAGTGGAGACTTCGATGCAGGGGTTGAAACGATTCTTACAACTTGTTAGCGATCGTTATGTAAAGATATTTCCTAAAATAGCTACGAAGAATAATATCGGTTATCTTTTAAAATATCGGTTCCAGATCGGATCCGTATCGAATTCGAAAGCTACTGGAATAGCAATCGATATCTCCGCCGATTTCGATTTTTCGTACCTGTAATAGAAAATAACGGTTCCGTCAAATTATCGCGAGAATTGGAATCGATATTATAACGGTTTTCAACACCTGGGTATTCTATTCTATTCGTGACGATGTTTCGCGGAACAAAGCTGAACGCAAACAGTAGCCACTGAACCAATGATAGCCGCAGGAATAACTAGGGTCCTTAGCGGGGCCTTATAGCCGGACACACCGTGTCCTTATATACCCCTGCTGTATAGATTATCCTATGGTACCAGTCGATCACTATCATTCACCCTAAATGTGACTCGGATCAAGTCCAAGTTAAAATTTCTATCTACCCAATCCGAAATGAAATCGAGGAAATTTGTTTATAGAAGTATCGTTCATTTATCAGCGATTTAGTAACATTATCGATGGTTTTACACCTTGAGTTTAAGTATCCAGCAATCAAGAAGTCATCGAATACACTAGCAGTAATAATGAAATACCTCCACGACTTCTAACCATTATGAGAAACTTGCACGTTTCGCGATACCTATCTAAGCTCTTACCTTAATAACACCACGTTCACATGATGCAGCATTTGTAATCACTCTTGCACGTTACACGCGTACCACAGAATCCGAAATCAATTAGGATTGTACCAATATAGGAGCTTGTATGTCGCATTAAGGAATAATCGAGAGGATTTAGAGGAACCGGGTGGTATTCCATTCGTACGTCGATCATGAAGTATGGTTCCTAAATTAAGGGATACTCGTACCAAGCTACTCGTACGAAGCTAACGAGCCAGAATTCCGGAAATAATAAATATCGTGAAGATCCGTGGAAGAAAAGCATGACGAAAATGGAGGACGAAATAAAATAGAGGAATAAAAGCGGTAGAAGCAAATGGCGGGAAAACGATTTTCAAATTTAAAAAATCTTTTTAAATTTCCAAGAATAATACTGTTGCGGTCCTAGGACCGGACGTCCCAAATTAAACGAGGAACTAGTTTATTCCTTTATTGTTAAGCATAAGGAACCAAGAACTCCGAAAATGCGAGATACTGTTCTCACTAGTATCATATTCACGCCCAGTCCGCCATCGCGAAAGGGTTAATTCAGAGTAGACCTCGTCCCTGCAACATTGTAGCATCCTCGAAACGGACCTTACAGTCCCGCGAAACTCCGAACGTGAGAGTTGCAGTGTTCAGAGTGCAACAAATGCAATCTCACGACTTCGATCTGCTGCTAGTTCTTTCTATGGCGTATCCTCAAGAAGAAAGTTCCACGACCCCATTACCGTTTCCATAAATCAATTGTCATTCACACGCAAATTTCAACGCCATGTAATGAACGATCGATTTTTATCCAGGACCAAAGCAACATGCATACGCGTAACGAGTATTCAAATCTCGTTGACTACGTTAAACGTGCCCCATTGTTCTCGATGTCGCAGTCGCGACCTTAATCTTCCTCGGGCCTATAAACCGTGAAATGTCTAGCTCGCCATCCACGCAATCTCAATATTAATTGCGCTGCGCTTATGAATTGTGCACGTGCGAGCATTAGTCATGCCGGTGGCGCATTAAAAGAATTATTCCCCCTGGGCTGTAATTTTCATTTTTCGAGAATACCCGATGCCTATTTCTCGCGTTTCACGTCTCGGCTCCTACGTGAAACGAGTTTCCAGGGAAAATTAGCAAGGGATTCTAGCAACCTTCGAGAAGCAATCGATGGTATCTCAGGCACTCCACGCACCGCGTTTCTTGTAGCTTTTTAATCGTCTCGAGCATCATCAAGGGCCCCTTAATCTCGCTTCCATCTCTCTGTTACTTAATATTCGCGATTAACGCAATGTTCGCGGTGAATTATCGACAATTCCGGCAATACCCATGCACGATATAAATAGTTGCTGATGAGAAAGGGAAATTCATTTGCGAGGATAGAAGGTTGCCCACCGATTCCGTATTCCTCTCCAATTATACTCGATACCGGTTTATTACTCGCGTGAACTATTTAAGCCGATATAAAAATAGGCGCTTTATTGTCCCTACAGGTTTCATTTAAATTACAACGAGCATGGAACGTGACCATTTCTCGTGGTTATCAGCTGGATAACCTTCGATGCTGAAGAGATGTCGCAGGACTCTCCTCTCCTTCCGAGAAGATTCGTCTCCATCTTTGTTAAAGGGTTATAATGCAAAGAGATATTAGCCAGTTGAAACGGTGGAAAAACTCTATAGATGTTCATTAAAGGGGCCACGCAGGTCAAAAGACGTCTCCAGAAAACGGGAGACAAAAGACACGAGCTGACAAAAGACAAAACGCAGGGGAAGGAATCACCACCCACATTGCTAGGATATAGAATTTATTTTAGTATTTAGTTTTCAGTGCAGCAATCTCAATGGTACCAATTATCATAGACCATTCGCGTTCTTCTACGTCTATCTTCGGACTAAGATCCAGACGTGCAGAGGAGCGTCAATTAAACACTAATTAAAATCTTCGTAGACATCGCGCAGGTGTCTGATTCACGCGACCGTGTGCGAGATCAGCCGATTCAGACACGGT